CCCCCGCCCCATCCAGCATCCGCGGCCGTGCAGTTAGCGCCACGACGGTCGGCTCGACCAAGTCGAAGCCGGGCTCGCCCAACGGCAAGAACCCGCTGTCGCCGACGCAGACGTCCGAGTCGACCAAGCGGCCCTCGTCGGTGCGCCGCTTCCTTGGCTTCCGCAGCGCATCGTCGTCGGACTCGCTGCGCAACAACAAGGTGGACAACAGCAACGGCAGCGCGCGCCCCGCGTCGCCGCCAAACAACAAGGACAGTGGAGCGGCACGCCCCGGCATCCGCGAACGCCGCAAGAGTAACAGCTGGTTCGGGCGGCGCGCGAGCACGATGCTTGGGCTGGGCAACCTCGAGGAGGGCCAGGTGCTTGGCAGCGAGAGCACGACAAGCACGAGCCGGCGCTCCGGTAGCATCGCCACGGTCGAGGAGCTGCACAGGCGCCAGCAGCAGCCCGCGGCCGCCGCGCCCGAAAAGCAAGGCCCTCCGCCGAAGCTACCTGAATACATGAAGCTGGGTGGCGATTTTGACGATGGCGGCAGCCTCGACGCCGACAACCTCTTCAAAAACATCAACTAGGCGCGTCCCCGGGGGACAACGCGCTTCGGCTTCTGGAACACGGAGCCAGGCGCGGGAGGGCGCCAGCGCGGCCGCGGCCACCGTCTCGCTATGACGAACCGCGCGCGCGCGCGTTCTGCCCCCGAATAGCAGCGGAGGTAGGGGCAGTCTCTCGTCGAAGAGAGAGCTTTACTCCGCTACCGCGACCAAGCCACCGCCGCCGGCTGCTGCGGCGGTAGCAGCGCAAGCTGCCAGACACCTATCCATTCGCAGCAATCCTCTTTTATTCCGCCGGAAGCTCCGCCTGAGCGCCCAGCTTCGGCGAAAAGCATTAATTGCACCGTCGCTTGAATCCTCCCTTTTCGTTGTTTCCATGGGTTTTTCTCGTTTTTTCTATGTCGCCATCATCGTCCATCGTCATCGTCGTTAGTTATTTCCTTGACTCCATTATACCCTTCAGCGCCGGCACCCATTGCTTGCGCCGCACCGCACCGCACCGCACCGCACGCACGTCTGCTTCCGCCTGCGCTTCTCGTCTTTGCTTCCGCACGCATACGTTCGTGTCTGTAGCACCAGCACCAGAACCAGAACCAGCATCCGCACCAGCATCAACATCAGCATCAGCATCAGCGGCAGCAGCGTTAGTACGCCGGCGTAGGCGCCACCGCCGCTTCGCTCTCGCCTGTCCGTCCACGCGCGCTCCATCTTGTAGCGAGTCGTACCGTATCTAAACTGTCCATGCATTCATGCATCCATCAATGCATCCGTTCATCCGTCACCCAACGCCTCCTCCACCACCACCAACAACAAGCGGTCAATTATTCAATCGACCAACCCGTTGTCAAAACTTATGCGTACGTGTGCTCTTCCTCGAGGAGCTGAGACTGCGAGCTTTGCGCTGCTCTGCGTTGCGTGGCGACGCACCTTCCGTAGACATATCTTACTTAGCGGGCGTTGTTCTCCGTTGCATATATTTATATATACACACAACCACCACCCACACACATTCACACACACATACACACATACTCAAGCGTTTCCGGTCTGTCGTTCTCGTCGTTATTTCCGTCGTCGTTGTCGTTGTCGTCAGTCATTCTTGGTCACGAATCCCTGCGCGTAGTAGTGCTTTATCTTGGCTCATTGGCTTGTTTCCGGCGCGTTTTGTTGTCTTCACCACCACCAGCTGATGGTGGATGCGAGCATTGGGGGCGCGCAAAAATGGCAAAAAGGCATGGCATGGCATGGTTGGTGCGTGCGAGCGTCGTCTTGGATTGGCTTGGCTTGGCTTGACTTTGCTTCCTTGCCACACCGTTGGGGGAGTTCCTAGCGCGTGTGCACGAGCAAGAGAGAGAGAGATTGCGTTTTTGTCGTCGTTATCGTTGTCGTTGTTGTTGTTGGTTGGTGACGAGGATAAGGTGGACAGGAAATTGGTTGGGACTTGAGATTTGAGATTGTTAATGAGAACGCAAGAGACAGACAGAGAGAAAGAGAAATTGGCTTTTGAGATTGATTGATACCTACGGTTCCAAGCTGGGTCGAGTGTGGGTGTGGGCACGTAATGACGGCAACGGCGGCGACGGGTAGGGACAGGCTGGCATCTTAATAGGTGTAGGCGCGTGGTGGCCTTTGTGATTGATTTTAGATAGTTATGTCATGGGCTGGTTTGGGCTGGGTTGGGCTGGGCCTGCCGCGGATGGTGGTGCGAGCGGAGCGGAGGAAGCTATAATGCTATGGAATGGTAGCTTACTTAGCTAGCTAATTGGTGCTTCTTTTCTTTTCTTTTCTTTTTGGGCTGGTTTGCTTGCTAGCTTGCGCGCTTGCTTGTTGCTTTGCTTTGCTGTGTGGTACGCAGGGTGCCTGGGCGTGCGATGGGTGGAGCGGGGCGGATGGCGGAGCTAGCTACTGCTAGGGTGCTGTGCGGTGGCGTGGTTTGGCTCTGCTTAGCACTGCCAGCTGGAGTTGGTAGTTGGTAGGGTTGAGGCCGGTTTGGGTATGTTTGCCTGCGGGCTGTCGACTTGGCGTGGGTGGGTATGGGACGTATCCTGGGGGTTAAGGATAGAGGTCTACTGTATGCCGGCCTTGGGATGCTTGCGTGTAAGTGTGTGTGCGAATCGATGCCAGAGCAGCAGTTCAGTCAGCATCTCCTTTGGCTTTCTCTTCCACGGCCTTCCCCTCGTCCTCCTTTTCTCCTCCACCCTTGCCCTCCAGCTCGCCCATCAAGCCATCCAGAAACTTGTCCGCCTTCGCCTTGCTCCTCTTCTGAGCAATCGCCTTCCGCCGCTCCTCGACCTCGCGTTTCCGCTCCTCCCGCTTGCGTTCCCTCTCCCCGCGCTTCTCCTCCGTCTCCTTCCTCTCGCGCTTCAACTCCTCCATCTGTTGCTTCCGTTCCTCCTCATCCTTCGAGAAATGGAAGAACCCCACGCCCTTGGTGCGGATCTCGGCGCGCCCGTCGAAATGCGCGTCCGGCGGCGGCGAGGGCGTCTTGTCCCGCCGCGCCGCCATCTCAGCCATGCGCTGCGCGACCGCCTCGTCCGGGTTGAACGCCGCGCTCTGCACCGTGTCGCCGTAGATGAGGTTTGCGGGCGCAGCCGGCCGCGCCGTGAACCGGTCCGGCTCGTCGGCCTGCGCGTGCTGGCGGCGCTGGGCGCGCGCGGCGTCGGCGCGGGTGCCGGTGCGCGTGCGCCCGAACTCATCGACGTATTCGACGGCTTCTTTTGCGGCGGGGTCGTCGTCGTCGTCGTCGTCGTCGTCGTCGGAATCGTCAGAGGTGGTGCCGCCGCCGCCGGCTTCCTTCTCGGCCCACTTGCGGTCGAAGTCGACGGCGTAGCGCTCGTCGCCGTCTTCGACGTCGCCGCGCTTCATGGCCGCGTACAGGCGCGCCTTCTCGGACATTTTGCGCTTGGCGCGGCGCCAGGTTGCGTCGTCGATGGCGTCGGAGGTGGTGCTGTGTTTTTGGGTAAAGTCGGCGTCGTCGAGGTCCTTGAGGGCGCGTTTGCGCGCGCCCTTGTTGTGGGTGCTGAAGATGTCGTCTTTCTTGCCGGTGGAGGCGCGCGCGCGACCGCTCGTTGTGCTGGTGCTGCTGCCCGCGCCGGCGATGAGCGACGAGAGCTGCGAGGTGAAGGCCAGAGTGGTGCTGGAGGAGATTTCTTTGCCGCTGGCCCTTTTGGGGCGCGGGACTCCGTAGAGGGAGGAGTCTTTGGCGGACATGGTGTTGGATGTTGGATGGGGGATGGGGAATGGCACGGATGGACGATGATGTATGTCCCCGGCCCGAGCTTCCCCTGCCCCTCCGAAATCCCGATCAAACAACAACACAGCAATTGGCTTTGTCGCTGTTCCATCCATTGCTTCTCGTCTTCATCAGCTCTATACTCACCTACAACACCAACTCTCCTCGTCACCCACAATGCCTGCTCCCCGCCAGGTCTTCGTCGCCGTCATCGGTATTTGCCCTCGAGCAAAGCTTCTCCCTGCACCTCCGCCCTCACTAACGCGTCCACCCAGGCCCCGGCGGTGTTGGAAAGTGCTTCCTCAACCAGCTGTCGACCGTGACGTCGCGCCTCTCGCAGTCGCCCACCGCGCCCATCTACCTGTCTCTGATCCTGCTGGCCCGCAGCAACAAGACCCTGCACAGCCCGACGTACAAGTCGCTCAGCCTCAGCAACTGGGAGGCGGACCTGGCCGCCAGCAACGACGGCGCCATGACGGCCTCGCAGATCGCCGACTACCTTGCCGCGGCGCCGCAGAAGGTGGTGCTGGTCGACAACACCAGCAACCAGGACATCGCCGACAACTACCCGCTGTTCCTGAAGCGCGGCATCAACATTGTGACGCCGAACAAGAAGGCCTTCTCGTCGGACTACAGCCTGTGGCAGGCCATCTACGGGGCGGCGGGCAACGGCACGGGCGCGGGCGGCTTCGTCTTCCACGAGAGCAGCGTCGGCGCCGGCCTGCCCGTGCTGAGCACGCTCAAGGAGCTGGTCGAGACGGGCGACGACGTGCAGCGCATCGAGGGCGTCTTCTCGGGCACCATGTCGTTCCTGTTCAACAGCTTCATGCCCGTCGGCGGCGGAGGCGGCAGCTTCTCGGCCGAGGTCAAGAAGGCCAAGGAGCTGGGCTACACGGAGCCCGACCCGCGCGACGACCTCAACGGCCTCGACGTTGCGCGCAAGCTTACCATTCTGGCGCGTCTGGCGGGCCTGCCCGTCGAGAACCCCACTAGCTTCCCCGTCCAGAGCCTCATCCCCAAGGAGCTCGAGTCCTGCGCCAGCGGCGACGAGTTCTTGGCCCGTCTGCCTGAGTTTGATGGCCAGATGGAGCAGCTGAAGAAGGAGGCCGAGGCCGAGGGCAAGATTGTGCGCTTCGTCGGCAGCATCGACGTCGCGAAGAAGGAGGTCAAGGTCGGCCTTGAGAAGTGAGTTTGACACCAATACACGCAGACTCTACGAACCCAACACTAACGCCAACAGGCTCGACCTCTCGCACCCCATCGCCGGCCTCAAGGGTAGCGACAACATCATCAGCTTCTACACGAAGCGCTACGGCACCAACCCGCTCGTCATCCAGGGCGCTGGGTAAGTTTTCCCTCTCTATCAGCAAGCAAAGCGGGACACAGCCGGCTAACGAACGACAGTGCCGGCGGCGACGTCACGGCTATGGGCGTCACGGGCGACATGATCAAGGTCTTGCGCGCGCTGCAGCACTAGGCTGATGCGTGCGTGCGTGCAAATGCAAAAAAATTGGAGGGGGTAATAGCGATGCGATGTAAAAACTTGAGGAAGGGGTTTAGATCTTTGACGTTTATGGTCGGATTTGGATAGCTAGTCTGGTATGCCACCTACCTATGCCGATTCTTGGACGATATGCGCGCGATTGACTGCGTGCGCGCGTGTGTGCGTGCGCGTGGGGAGGGTGCGTGAGTGCTAAGATGCAGTACTGTGTCTATCTATCCTATTAAAGCTCACCCCCGTCTTTATTCTTTATTCTTTACTCTTTGCTCACCTGTCTCTCTTATCTTCTCGCCTCTTCTCCACAGCACAGCAACAACATCATACCCAACACGCCGTCCCCACAACAAATCCACCTAGGTACCTTCCTATATATCCTAAACACGAACAACATTACTACGCCAACCTTCTCAACCAGCCAGCATGCTGCAGCCTGCTTGCTCTGCTCGTACGTTCGGTGCTTGGGGCCTTATGGGCTGTGTATCCCCTGGTACGGGACCGTGGTGACACTTGCCAGATTTATTGGCCGCTGCGAGCGCCGCGTGCATTGCCCTACCTTGTACGCTCGGCCGTGGGTGTTGCTTGCGTGTGCTGGTGCTGATACTGATAACGAGCGTGAAGAGCGCGCCGTGCTGGCTGGCGGCTGTGAGGGGGAATGGTGGTGGCTAACATAACGGCAGTCAGCGAGTCCTCATTGATACAGCAGGGCAAGGCTGTTTTGTGCTTAGATAGGCGCTCACTGCGCCCTAGAAGCTTTGACACAATGCTGTTTAGATCTATCCCCGAGGTGTCTACCAAACTTCGAGGGCCACTATCCATAAGTGACGAGAGGTAGTCAGGATGGTAGTCGATTTAAAAGGCGCTATCGAGCAGTCCTCAACCTTTGAAGAGCATGGCCTTCCTCAAGGCGAGTTTAGAGAACGGTGAAGTCTCGACAGTCTACAAGGCTGTCCACGCAACACCTACAAAGATACCGTTTCCACCTCCGGTAACTCATCTTGAAGATCAAGCAGTCATAGCCATCTAAGAAAATGCCTACAAACTTACTTCGTCTATGGTCATCATCGCCATTGAGCTGCGAAAGCAGCCAATAGCCACGAAGAATGCTAATTGTCGACAGCGCGGTAGTTTGTTGACATGAACACAAACAGCCTCGCGTCAACGCTGTCCATTTCGGCTTGTGGTCAAGGTAACTCGCGACCCTCGTGCGACCGCACGTTATGTGTTCTGCATCAGAGAAGTCCGCCCTCACACGTTAAGCCTATGTATGTGTGCGAAGCGTGCGTGATGGCGGGCAGTGGCAAATTCAAGAAAGCAGTAGTCACTGCTATGACTCGGGCTCCGGGGGCGGGATACAGCTGGATTCTAGACTCGTCGACGTGGCAAAGTCCTCGTTCTGCCTTGGCTTTATTCCGGGCGCGAGTGCGAGCCCGAGCTTTGATTCCTTCGTGTTACTGCATATGGAGTACGGCTCCCTTATTTAAAAGCTAGTAGCGAGTAAGTAGTCCGGAGAGGTTATGGAGCTGGACGGGGACAGCGTCTGCTGAGACCATGTGTGGGACAGAATCGGGAACTGAGCTATCGGTATAGTAGAAAACTTAGCGGACGAAGCCATTGCCACTGCTATTGTCGTTGATAGAAAACGTCAGGGCTTTGTAACCCTTCAGTCTACCGTGTTATGGAATGCTATCACAAGACTTACTCTCTTACTCTGCCTTTAGAAATAGATGCTCAATCCTCGAGTCTGTGACTGAATATGGAATCCACAATTGAGATACCGTCGAATTTGTATATCCCTCCGATCAAACTAGTTATGTATATCACCGTTAATACCCGTGAATTGTAGCTTGGACCGGTTAGTAGCAAGTTGTTTTGGTGTTACTCTTGTCGCTATACTTATTTTCCGAGCAAAGGTTTCTGCAAGAAAGTAAGGGCATTGTCGGCACTGACAATATACCCGAGTGGCGTTGAAGAACACAAACATTGGTACGCACGATGATAGAAAAACATCTCCCGATGCTCAGATGCCTGTGGATGGGTATACTACGACACTATGGGCGCAGTGTTGAAAGCGGATGCAACTTCTGTAAAGTAAGCCTTGTTTGAGCGCCTCAAATGGGAGGGATGCCGCATACCTCACTATAAAGCAGTCTATGAAGCAATCCTAACTGATAAAGCGCGATAGAGCACATCAAAAGGAACAGGATGGCTCTACGCCTTGCAGAGAGACAACTGCCATCACTGGATTCAAAGCTGGTGTGCGGTCGTCCCAGAAACCCACACGCTGGTCTTGCCCCATATAACATTGTCATTGACGGCGATGTGTGCCATGGCGTCTATCATTATCTTAGCGATCCGAAACTAAGCGTAATATACTAGAGTAGATGAATATCACGTTGGTAGATACGATGTTGCTTTGTTCGACGCAGGAGACGATTTACGCGATTAGCTGGAGGTATGTCTTAAGTCTATACTGGGAGCGACATGTATAGCCCATTGTTACTTTTCTGACGCATAAGTTGGTTTGTGAATGCCTCATAAAGTTTGCAGGTGTATTACGCCGAACTGCATTCCTACGCGCTGGAAGCAGGTAAGGCCTTTTTAAGCAATCCATAAGGTACGGCCGAGTGTCCTGATCATCCGGTCGTCTTTAAAATGTACCTATCAGCCGTAGCCTTGTCAGCGCAAAGGGAGACCTCAGTATTGACCAGCCATTCCGCGGGCTTGACCTGAGCAGAGCTTACGTATGGCGAACATTGCCCTTGGAAGCATCGTAAACCAGATTAGATCCGAGACCTCATACCACGTGGCCTTGATACAGCGTCCACAGGGAGTTGAACGGACTTTTGGCAATATTGTGCACATTTTCAGCCAGGACGCAAAAAGGGAGTCTATCATGCTCTGTTAGTCTCCAAAAATACGTTAGAAACAATTTGGCCGCGGTGATGCGTGAAAATGAATATGAGCATGAAATCTCACAGAAAATAGTTGCTGTCCTAAAGAAGCGTTCCTTAGGCACACACAGAAATCTCCGTGATGCAACTAGGCCCTGCCACCCTAATCGAGCACGCATACAATTAGTTAGTGGTTCATCAAAGATGTACCGAACAAACCTGGGGACAATCACAGGTATAAGCGTACAACTCCCCAACAGCAGCCAGATACCAAGTTCCAGAGGGCTCACACACCGCTGGATTGATGAGAGGAAAGCTCAGAACCTGCTGTCTGGCTCAGGGTACAGACGACAACGTCAGCCCTCCCACGACCACTAAGACTTCAGTATGACAGAGTCCGGGACTGAAGCGCAGTGGTGCTGATCGAAGAAACTGGCCCGGCCAAACGGTTTGCGATAAACATACCTGCTCAATACTCTCTCAAGCTAGGAACCGGCGCTTCTGCATCTATGCCCAGGACCACATGAGCGTATTACCAGCGCAGCTTTGGGCTTGTTAGACCCTAATGTGCTCAGGACAGACCGCCCTGATAACAGCAGAAGCTCAAGAGGGCATGTGCAAACAAGATTTACCAAGGCTTTGCCAAGGCAGCGATGCATACATCCGCATGAGAAGAAGAGACACGAACTCGCGCCGAGCAGGAGAAGCAAGGGAAAAGAGGCATAGAAACGGATTTATCATTACATGAAGGCTAGTTCAGGGCGACACCGCCGCCCCGTCGACCGCCCCGACATCCGCATCCAGCGTATAATCGGCAAGCCTCCGACAGCGATCGAACAGAATCCCCCCATCGGGGCCAAAGGCAACAGTATCATCAGGCACCAGCACGAAAATGCCGTGCAACTGCTACAACAGCAACAAAACCATGTTGCAAGCGTCATGCGGCGCAGTTCATGCGCTCGCGCATCGGCCACGATTAATTCGCTCTCGACGCGCGCAGGCGACCATGTCCTGCATCGACACCCAAGCTTCCACAAGCTTTGCGAAGCACTGCAGCCAAGAAGCTCAGCTTGCCCAGCTTGCAGCTGGTGGTACGTGTACTTACATATTGTCTGCTCGACATGGTGCATGGTTCTACACACCCAGCGTACCGGTTCGATGTTGCATCACCGCCGTCTCTTACCTCATGTACTCCCCACGCACCCCCATCCACCACATACGACCATAGGTCACGGAGAATCAGCCACCCCGTTCGCTATTCAAGCTGTGAACCGGTTGATTAGTAGTTAGGTGGGTGACCACTAGCGAATCCCAGCTGTTGTATGTTTTTTGCTTCGTCGTCGGACATGCCCGACATGGCTGCTTGTTCTTTGCCGAAGGCTTCCAGCGGTCCGCGCACCTCGCGTCCAATATTTGGGCGTTGTCGTGAACCCGCCCAATCGACACGATGGCGCCATTCTGTTTACACGTCCAAAGGCTAAGTCGGGCTTCTCGGAAGATCCGGGCGGAGCTGGTCCCGAGGGTACACCGGGCCCCTCAGTCCTCGAGACACTGGACGGGACCTGCGTTCAGTTGTGGGGCGGACAGATTTACGTGTTCCCAGTAGAATTTCTAGAAGTCTGTGGAAGTGCCACCTGAAGCTTTAATACCCACTTAATTCTCGTACTTGCCATTTGTCCGAGAACTCCACGAACTCCTGCCATTGCTCATGATGGGCAGCGACTTGACGATGATTTTCCTTGACGATGTAACATTGACCCTGCAAGCGAGGAGCTTGGATTAGATTTTTGTCTTGATTTTCAAACGCCATACCTTATAGATACAGACAAGCACGCTGTCGTCTACACCTAATCCGGTAATCCGCGAAGAGGGTTGATCAAAATACTTTTTCACATGTTCGCCGGGTCGATCGCTTGTGGGGAGCGTGGCCTATTGTGAGGCAGATATGTCGGCTAGGCCGAAAATAGCTTTTTTCAGCTACGGAGCGTTTGTAGACGTTGTAGGCTATTGTAGGACGAGAGGATACAATTTGTTTGGTCGCTACAGGTTGTGGCTGCAAGGAGGTAAAGGAAGGTTGGTAGTCTGGTTTGGAGCTGGACCGTGATATTAACGCTCGGCTAATCATTACCGCGTTGGTATGAGGGGATTAGCATAAACGGCGAGAGCGTTCTGTTCCTTCTTTTGGAAATGCTCCGAGGACATGTAGGTGAATTTAGGCGCCCATACGGCAACTGCACTGCTGCAACATCATTGATTGGACGCCAGCAGTATGCGCAGTATTGTCTGGACGGAAGGTGGATTATCTCCATAGAAATCTATAGATTGCGCGTCGTTGGCGGGGAAAGAGTGACATTCATCAAGTCGCACCGAAGACCGCCGCACTGTGGAAATCGTTCCATTTTCCGGGCAAGAGTTGCTCCGTCGCACCGTCGATACGGAGGGGTGGCGCTACTATCGTGAACCCATTTTCCGATGTCACATTCGATGTTCTCGACGAGAGCTGCGTTTGGATCATGCGAGTGAGCATTTTATTACTTGATGGTCGGTCATCGGCGAGGGACCTGCCGTTTCGATGCCGTTGGTTCCGATAAAAAGCCTTTCGACGCTCTTCTCTGTGCGGTCGTGATACACGACTTGCCACAAAGGAATGATGGCGCATAACGCATGTCCGTTGGAGAAACAGGCAATTTGGCGGGTTCGTATATTCGGGACGCTTCAGGTAAACTGGTGATGAGTGCCGTTGTGCATTAGCTTTAGGCGTCGAGTTGCGGCGCGGCCGAGGCGGCGCAACATGCTTACTCTTTTCCCGTGGGTGACAACGAAGCAATATTGTCGCGGCCTGCCCCCACACCGGTGACGCCTAGCATTTCCCCGGATCCTCCTGGGCCTGCTCGAGACGAGAGGAGCAAGGAGAAAATCATGGCCTCTTCGCGCGACAGCCGCTTGTCGCAGTGGGCGCCGAGGGGGACGAGGGCGACGATACCAATGGTGAATTTTTCTGCATCTCCAACGGGAAGGCCCGGAAAAGCGGGGTTCTTCGCGGCACTTTGACCCACATTCGACAGGAACAAGTGGGGAGCGAAGAGGGGCACCGGTCAGCGATCTGGTGGGGAGGCTTGCATAATCCGCGAAGGCTATCGCGATGCTCGCCGGTGACGTTGGTGAGGGTCAAGCTAATGAGCATCACGCGACCGAGCGCGGATTGTCGTCGCCACGGGCGGTGGTGCGGGGGAAGAGAGGTAAGGTCTTGAGTCTCGACTCTGGACGCGCGCCTGCTTCCCCGGTTTTTCGGCTGTCGCTGGGCGTTGAGGGAAGCGGCACGCGACAGGGTCGGCTTCACCATGGGCCTGCAAATTGCTGACGGTCGCGCGTGATGGAGGAGCGATGGCGTTGACAGGCTGACGCGCAAACAAGCCCTTGCGGAGATTCGATGCCAAGTGGACTGCTCGACTTGGCTCGGAGCGGATGGCTTGGCGCCGTCTCCTGTGGCGCTGGCGGCTGGGGCTGTGTGTGGGCCGAGTCAGGTCACCAAGATGCGCGACTGTGACTGTGCGGCCACGCGGCAGACGCAGGCGAGAGGGCTGACTGACGATGGCACAATGGGACGCTGCGCCCCCTTTTGCTCTCCTGCTCCTATCCCGTGGTCTCTCGTACCTAAAGTATGCTGTGTCGCATTGGTCGTATTGCAGCTTTGTCCAGCAGCGCCAATAATAGCCTGGCCTCAGCTGAGCGTGGGCCGGGCGCGGATGAGGATGGGCCAGACTTTACTCGAGTAGAGGCACAAAGACAAAACAAAGACCTTCAGCTTCTGCGCGGCAAGTCGTGGCCGTCACACCGCGTCACGATCCGCACTCCATCGCCATCCTTACTTCCCACTGCCGCGCATCCCCGACGGCCTAGCGCGCCCTAGGGATACGATTCGATGACTCGTAAACAAGAGCGTTGGTCGTCGAGAAAGAAGGCAGCAGCAATAGGGCACAGGGCTGGGCGCGACCGTTCGTCGATTGGGCAGCAGGCGCCAACCAACGCTGCGTGCTGTGCAGCGGACGGTTTCATTTTCCCACCTTATTGCCCACTTTCGAACTTTTGCAGTGGAGCCCGTCCACCGCTAGCTTGTTCTTCGAGAATCCGTGAGTCCATCGCCAGCGCCGGACAGGAGCCTGCGAACGGATGCCGTCTAGCCCTTTGCGGCCCGCCGAGTCCTGCAATGCGGTGAGGGTCCTCGACAACAGGACCCCTGGCTTGTGGGCAGAGGGCAACGTGGTTGGATGGGGCTCCCGAGAAGGATGGCGGACGAGGGGCCCGAGGGGGCCGTGGGGGTACCACTGGGGGGAACTTTTTTTTTTTTTCTCGCCTTTTTTTTTCTGGCCCTTCCCTTCCCTGCGCGCAGCGTACATAATGATTGCAGATCGTATCTGGATGAGTTGCGGCGGGGCGGGGGTCGGGCAGCTCTCGTCACAAGCCTCAATCTCGCATGCAAACGGTTTCATCTCGTCAACGGCACGCACATGTGGATGAGATGATGACAGCAATAGGGCAGGGATGGCGGTGTGGTCAGCGAAAGATCCAAGGGTATGGCAACCGGAACGCTGGATAGCGCGCCAAGGCGGCCGCCATGCTCTGTCTGGCTCACTGGCCTGAGCTCCGAAGCTTGGGCTTGGGCTTGGGCTTGTCATCGGGCGGAGAGGAGGGTGGAACTGGGAAGCTTGCCGGTGGGATAAATAATGACGGGTTGCCCACGCTCCTTTGCCTGTGACAGTGACAGCGACGCCGCCTCTTTGTTCGCCAATCCGCCTTCCACGTGCTTGGCCTCTTCAATCCTTCTGCGCTTCCTCGTACTACGACGCCGTGCCACGCTCGACACGCCCGATAAGCTTCCTGCATTCCCAATATCTGGCTGCTGGAAACATCGAAACATCGAAACACCACCCGTCTCATCTCACGCTGCCCTTGACGTCAGCTGTCGATCTGCAATCCCGCCGCCGCGCCGCTTGCTATATCAACCTGCCAGCCCGCACCCACCAACCATCCATCGGCTAAGCCTTCCTGCCTACCCTACGAATACCTACCTACCTACTCCGTACTCCAACATCCATTCACCATGTGTGTCGCCGAGCTCAACGTCTCTACCCTTCCTTGCCGCCACCGCTGGTACCACCTGCTGCGCCCATGCACTGCTGGCACCAACCTCGCCAACTGCCCCAACAAGCTCGGCCTTGAGGGCTGGGAGACCAAGTGCAGCTTCTGCCCCTTCTGCTCTTCCTGGAGCCTCTCCACCACCGACTACCGTCTCGTTGGCAACGATCGCAGCCCTTCCATTGGCGGCCTGTCCCGCTCGCCTTCCCTCTCTCTCACAACCGCCCGCCGCGATTCGCGCGCTGCCTCTCGCGCCGCCTCGCGCCGTGGCTCGCTGGCCCGCACCGACAGCTCCAGCAGCATCTCTGGCATGGTCTTCGCAGGCCACGTCGCAGAGAAGAACAAGGCCATCAGCTCTCGCCTGGACGCCTACCTTGGTGTCCACCCCGAGCGCAAGGGCAGCAGGTCTGGCAGCGAGGCCTCGGACGAAGACGACCAACCCTCCAGCCCATACGAGACGGACATGAACAAGGTGGACGCTCAGACACAAGGCAGGAGGGACAGCACACTGTCCAAGGGCTGGAAGAAGAGCAAGAGGTTCAGCCGCGGTCTCTTCAAGTGAGCGACGCGCTACCATCGACCTCTCTCTTCATTCCTACTTCCTAAGCGCGATGGGCTATTCTTGCCCTCCGAAAGCATCTTGCCACCTTAGCCTTTGAGCCACAAAACAAGCACGGCGTACCGGATCGGTTTCTATCTCCTCTCTTCGGATACGCTACCATACCATGCAGCGTCCGGAAATCGCTCTTGCAAAGATGCGACAAGGCTGCAACGCTACAGCCTTGAAACCTCCACTCTTCTTGCGCTCGATGTACCACTTTACGAAGGACATCACGCCAACGCCCTCCCCGCCTCGCGCTTTAGCGCAGCGGGACGGCATTACAAAAAACACACCTTTAATGAGCCTCTATCCGAAGTCTCTCGTAATTGTTCTGCTTTATTTTTTGGTGGGAAAAACCCTGGGAAGGCTGTCTGGACATTGACGGCATGGGAACGGAACCTGAACGGCGTTTGTTTTCTTTTCGCTTTCTTTCTTTTTTATCTGGGTCGGTCTGGGTCTCGGACACATCAAACACGGGAAACAAGGTGTGGCTGAAAGCGAGCCATCGTATCGCCTTTTTTTGCTTTTGGGCAGACCGTTTGCCGTTTCACGTTTTTCTTTTTTCATTTGCTTCAAAGAGATACCCGCAGAACCCACAGACTGGCTCTGGCTTTGGAAGAGAGCACAGCAAGAATGAAATTATTACTCATCCTCATTTTATTCGGATCTTATCAAGCGCGTGCTGCCTGCTTGTTGCACGTGCGAAGTGACAGACCAATTTTCATCAAGGATGGCTGAAACTGGTTTCAAAGCATCAGTCATGCGGACGTTAGCTAATCTCTGAAGTCAATCTCAGCTGAGAGCAAGATGCAAGACTCCAAAACCGGTCACAGCGGCGGGGGAGATTCATCATCAACAGTGGAGGAATAGGGTGAGTGGTGGTGTGAGCAAAAGGTGCAGGCGAGCGGCGGTACCGTAGTTAGCCCGTTACACTGTGTACTCGAGTAGTACCCCAGCTCTCTGTCGCTCCGCAGAGAGTCAGGGGTCCAGGACGGAGAACCCTGGCAGTAGCCAAAAGCAGGCGAGTTGGGCGGGCAAGTAAAGACGAAGGAACGGTAAAAAGGCCCGGGGGCGCGCCAATCGGGGCTGCCGATCTGCCACCCGCCGTACAATTTATTTATCATGACTCCACGCTTACCTTTTCAGCTCTCCGGATGTGGAAATACACGTCGCTCATTTCTAAGCCTTTTGCAGGCGCCTGCGCCGTCGCCTTTCTTCCTGAAATCAGCCGATGCGTTCGACTACTTACCTACATACGTGTCCGCAATGCGCCCGCCCCTCCTCTCAGTGGCTGTCGCGAGGTCGCATTGCGAGTAGGCACTGTAGTAGTAGGTGGTACTCTACCTAGCAGCAGCACTAGCTCAGACGCCACGGTCAGGCTGTACTCATAGTGGATGGCAGACGGATAGGCGGGCAGAGTGGACGTGACATGGAAGCCTCATCATTCATCATTCATCATTCATCATCATTATCGGCATCATCAATCATCAGACGAGCATCAAGCAGCAGGAGCGCAGCAGCGGCGGCGCCGCCGATCCCCAAGCAAAGCAGCTCGCACCCGCACCCACGCACGCGCACACACAAAAGCATCGCCACCGGCAGTCGCCAAACGCCAGCGGCAGCGGCAGGCAATCGAAGGAATGGAAGAGCTTCGCCCCGTCGCGTCCCATGGTTCGCAAGCTGTCATCCCGCCGCCAGCGAACATGTGGTCGACGCCCGGCGGAGGGGCTGTGCAAGACGAAGTGAGGGCGAAAAAAGGGCAACGCGCGCGCGCAAGCGGGCAGGCAGCGAGAGAAAGAGAGTGTGTGTCCTGCCTGCCCGCCCGCTCGGCCCCCGCGGGCCCCGCGCGCTTCGTGACATCATTGGCCGCGAACGCGCGGGTTCTGTGCCCGCACAGACGGTTTCCACCTTCGTTCGTCAACATCCACCACTACGAAGTAGCTTCCTGCAGATCGGATCCGTACGGACGTCTCCGGCGATGCGTACAATATACGTACGATGCGCAGCGGGCAGCTGTCGGTGGGTGGGCAGCGTAGCACGGAGCGCGAAAGCAGTCGTGGATCGGGCAAGGCATTGTCAAAGCAACGCAACGCAAAGCAAAGCAAAGCAAAGCAAAGCAAA